AAGAGTACCAATTTAAGAGTACGCTTAATCGCGGAGCATGTGTACGTAGATATATGGATGTGAAAGAATAGATATGTGTCAGGATCGTGTCAAATGGAAGTCCGTAATTTCTGATCACCCTTCTAATTGTCAGACAGGCGTGAGAGTTTATGTATACGTATTATGTATAAAGTTAAAAGTTACAGCCTATATACATCCCACTGCTGGGCACAGGCCTCCGCTCATTTCTGAGAGGGTTTTAGGGCAAGGAATTGTCCGCCGCGCTGCCCTAATGCGTGTTGGCGAGCTTCACTCGTATTATTATTTTTTCTTATTTCTCTGACGTCTCACGATGTTTTCCTTCACCGCCGTTAGTACGTTGTAAACGGGCACTTAAAATTGGAATTAACAATTTCATTAGTGCCGGCGGGGATCGAACCCGGTTCGCTCGTGTACTGTGATATTTACAGCGAGCGCTAACCATCTGACCTACCAAGGCTTTTATTATGTATAACATTATTTATAACATGTAATAAATATTTCTGGGACCTCTACGTGTTCCCAAGTTCTAAATCCAGCTTCGTAAAATAACTGAAAGGCGATAGTAACCTTCCTTGTCCTTGTGTTCGTCGCAGAAGCACTGGCCCGTAGGCGCGGCCAACAGCGAGTGCCGTAGCCGCTGGAACTGCGCCGCGTAGTGCACGCGGCACGAGAGACCCTCCTGCGACATTACAAAACAGTACAATTTTTTTTATTGAATGCGGATTACAACTAAGTCTTATTAATGATCATTTTTATACTATTACCACTGGTTCGGAAAAAACCTCTCTCCTGGGTTCTAACCAAAGACATTTAAGTATGTAGTAGTAATAGAACGGACATCAGCAACAAAATTGTCGTCTGTAACTTTTGTCCTATAGGATATATCTCCGATTTTTGTCACTTAGTCTAAGTGACATCACCGAAAGGTCAAGACGCATTCGTTTCATAAATTAAAAAAGTATTTTTAAAGAAAATATGCCCGGTTGTGCATTAACGTTGTAGCACGATATAGAGCAAAAATGAACATGATTTCGGTTTATTATCCTAAGAATAATATATATTTACCAAATTTTCTTTAAATTTTATTATTTCTTGTAGATTGTTCTAGAAAATAGAAAAATTACTGTAAGAAGTGCACTCCATTATCCAGTAACGTCACTATTTATTTATATATATGATAGTAATTGACGACGTGCCTAAAACCGATATTTACCTTAGTCTTAGAAGCGTCACCTAATGGGAAATAGCTAAAATGTTTTCCAAATAAATATCAGTGTACTATTTCTATTTTTCGCTAGAGGGCTTAATACACGCGCGTGCTCACAGTTTTTGTATGCAAATGTTCCCAATGTTCGCTATAGTATATATACATATATATATATACATATATATATACATTTTTTTGGTTCTAACAGCAGGACCTTTTTTTCAAAGTATAACTATATACAATAAAAAACGGGTTGTACAAACTACTTACAAAACTTAAGAAACAGCTTTGTAATTAGTTGTTATCGACCACGAGTTCATTTACATTATAATAACTATTTTTATACAGTTGGTAATAGAGAAATCTTGTATGTATTTCTCAGCCTTCGTTGTAATATCATATACATTGCCCCATTAACGAATTATTGAATCTGTGGAGTCGAGAAACTGGTATCACTATCTTATGTTTTGTTTGTAATGTTTTTAGAATTTATATCCACTTTATTACTTTTGTTTTTGTGAATTATATTACTAAATGGTAGGACTTCCTTTTCTGTTTACGAGTCCATCTGGGTAAGTACCTTACTTATTTCTGCCTCGAAGCAGCCGTGCTTGCACTGTTGTGTGCTGGTGTGAGGGGTATAGAAAGAGAAATCATCTAAATGTAAAGATAATATAAGAATACTTGTGAAAAACCAACCTTCAATAGCACCTCAATATGATCGTTGGATTTAGCCGCATTTGACTTAGCTTTCTCAGTGTCACCTTTCTCTTTTCCTGTAGGAGTAGCACTTTCTCCTTCCTCTGGCTCAGTTTGAGTACTGCAATAAAAATAATCAAATAACTATTTTAAATTAATTAAAGGAATAATAATGATTTCTTATATTTACACTACACTACTAAAACATCCTAATTACAATAGAGAAGATGGCTGGGTGCTACCATCTGCTTGGGATCCTACAATAAATAAAATTAAATCCCAACCCAAGCATGCAACTGCAAGACTTCAAGATACCATAAGTTCATACTGTGTAGATCGGAACAAAAGTTAAATTTTAATCTATGGTAACCGCGGTTAACTATGACATCTGGACGTTGAACATCTCAGTCCCCCCCGTGACCATGGGTGCTGTAAAGCGCTCGAAACGTCGGGTATTTATAGTTAAATATACGCGATAAAATCCTTAAAAACTAGTATTATTTCAATGTGTAGTGTTCGCGTAAATATAAGAAATCATCAGGTACTAGGTTTCGTTACTAGACAGAGCAGGCACTTCAGGAACCCTCCAAGTTTAATTTTGTTGTTTAACAGTTTGGTTCGAAGTAATTTAGAATATAGCTCAATAATATGGAATCCATACTATGCAGTGCACTCTGAGCGCATTGAATCGATCCAATCCAAGTTTTTGCGTTTATATTTAATTGTAGGATAAAATAGTTAAAAAAGTTTTAATGTAATTTAACAATTATATATATTATGTATAATATCATTTGATCGATTGTAATGGCAAAAAGTCGTTCCTACAACTGTTGCGTGGATAGATGCTAAATGACCAACAAAGGGATTACATATCATTCTTTAGGTTACCGAAGGATTTTAGTATAAAGTTATGAAAGGTGAATTTATATCGTATTTTTTGTTAGATAGGTAATTATAGCAAATGAAGTATTAAGTAATATTTTATCTACAAAAAGTAATATTTACCTAAGTACTTTATTACAAAACTTATTTGAAATTTACTTCAATATCCAAGTCTCTCTCTATCCTCTACTTTACATATCTATACTTGTTTCTTGTAATTAAAATATTTTAAGTAGTAAATACTGAAATTAAAACTTAGTTAACTAACAAGATTTTAAGTAAGTAAGAATACGATCACATTTATGTTAGGAATCATATTTCGGAGTTATTTGTTGTTTACACTATGTACCTATTTCTTCCGAGCAAAGCATCGCGATTTCCGACGAATGTTCTTGCAAGTTGCATACGTTTAGCATTGCAGAACTCACATAAGTGCGAAAATATGGTTAGTCGATCAGTCAGAATAAATACTACACCTAAGTTACTTAATTAACATTTCGCAATGTATTTTTTTACTCTTTGTTGACATCCCTTAGCAACCACGGAAAGTCCGCCATAACGTAAGAAGTGGAAAAGTTGCAAAGTAATATGGACACTCTCGCGCTGCGATAAATTTTTATTTAGGTTGCGTGTGCGATTTATCTAATTTATAATAATTATTATGTAGGCTATTAAACGTCGGCAAGCAGTCAATATCAAAGGAGTGTAACTTCTGTACGTAGTACTATTATTTTCTAGGTTGAACTTTTACCATTAATTTACAATAAACAGTTAAGTATGAAAACTTTTAGAAACAACACGGTGGCCATCATCGTCATTCCCAGGGATCAATTATGCACTCTTTAGTAGTATAATAACTCTTTATTAAACAAATTATGCTCGATATTTTTTTTAATTAAAAGTGCCAATAACTTACTTGCTTAGATCCGCGTAATAAAATAAAATGTTGTGTCTTACCAGTCTTGCAGATAGTTCCTGCATATAACTAGCATTTACATATTACCTGGTAAGGCCAGATATTTCTAATTTTCAATGTATACAACTAAATAAGTCCTGGAGCCTTAGTACTTTGCACACTAAATTACGGTTAAATGTCCGTAACTCCTATAATTGACTGCAAGCGAGTGAGTAGATTAGTTCATTATTTTGTACGAACGTTGTTTTCCGACAATCTAACATTGACTTTATTTAATGTGACGCTGCAGTGCATTACTTATGTTCGCACTGCGCACTTTGTTAACGTGATTTGAATTTTATTTTAAATATTTGTACGTAACTTTATTTCGTATTTGTCTGTCACGTTTTTATCAGTCACTGTAACTTGTAACTAAAATACAACTGCGTGGCATATTTAATTGTGCCAGCTACCTGCCCGCGCGATCCATAAATGTGGCACAGTTTTTGTTCTGAATTGCCGCTTTAGTAGCATAGTATAAAGAGGCCATGTAGGTTATCTCCGGCCCAATCCGCGATATAATTGCCTACTGTCTCAGGGTTGTCACTGTCACCAAATCATTAGTTTAAAGCCCGGCCCTTGCCAAAGATAATACATCTCTGTATAACTAATTCAGTGATCATTAGTCGATAAAGTTCAACAATGGTTTTCCTAACAAATACAGAAATGTATTAAGATTCAGAGCAGTATTATTTTATTATTATATTAGCAATACGTTCTCCTGCGATTATCACACATTTTTCATTGATTTAGCGGTGCCGAAAAGCCGTGACGCGCGAACCTCGTGCGGTGTTAGCCCCGACTGGCGCGCTGAGAAACACTTCGAGATTGTGTTTAAGTGTGCGTGCGGCGCCTCATAGATACTATGGCGCACAAATACAAGCCGCGCGCAGTGCGTTTGTATGAAGATAACGTACTTCCCCTCTCTTTGTACTATGTTAGTAGTGTACATAGACGTATTTGAGTGTGGTAAGCGTATACCTGATAAAGTGACAACGGATGCAGGTGGCTCAGGACCGTGCTTAGTGGCATTCCTTGAGGGAGGCCTATGTTCATCAGTAGACTTGTGAAGGGTTGTATTGATGATGATGATGGTGGTGATGGTGGTGGTAGTGGTGATGGGGGATGTGGTGGTGGTGGTAGTGGTGATGGAGGATGTGGCGGTGGTGGTGGTGGTGACTGAGGTTGTGGTGGTGGTGGTGATGGAGGTTGTGGTGGTGGTGGTAAAGCGTGTACCTGTGGCGATGCGCGGCGAGCGTCCTATGGTAGGTGTGCGAAGCGAGCGCGGCCGCGATCACGGAGCCCACGTCAGCCGCGCGCACCGCCACTGGCACCACGCCGCCGCACACCACCATGCCACTCTGCGCGCACACACCACATTATATTATTATAAAATATATATTGCTTATAAAAAAGGAAGAAAAACATGTGTGCAATTCACACGCGGCAGAAATGAAAACTTCAGAAAAGGAGACTTCTCTCGCAGGCTAAATCCTATAGAATGATGTTTGTCTCTTTTTAGTGTCGTTTTTTCGTTTCATCGACTTTCAAATTCAAGTTTTCGGTTCAAAAAATTACATAACATAAACTCTCATGGCTCTTAAGAGCGCACATTCAAATATGTCCAAGTCGAAATCTACGCGATCGCTTTGGAACGGCGTAATATTGACGCACACTACAATGTTATCTCTGTGTGCGTGTCAGAGCGAGCGCGAGGCTAGTTGCTTTAGTTTCGCGTAGTGTATATTTTCTTGGCTTTAGTTGCACGAATCATTTTGATACTGTTGGAACTAAAGGAATGAAAAAATATTCTTTTAGTACCAATTATTAATTTTAAGTCGGCTTTTCATCTTCACCTTATTGAATACTTATATTATAATATATGTTCTAATGGAAAAATATGTATTATATGTATAAAATATATATAATTTGATAAACTTTTATTCTGTTTTATAATTTAAACATAATTCATTAAACTAACAATTTCATTAGTGTTGGCGGGGATCGAACCCGGATTGCTCGCGTTTACGGCGAGCACTTCGCCCTTGAGCTACTCAACTCAAGCACAGCTCATATCTTTTTATGGCTGTTTAATCATAACGTTATCTCCACACTAGGTATTTTTCCTAAGTACACAGTGGGGGCAGTTTAAATACATTAATTTCACAAGGACAAACATCCAGACCCGGAACAATTATTTGTAGATTATACAAATTTTTGTTCCGTGTTGGATTCGAACCCGCGGCACTCAGCGCTACAACTCATTACCAAGTCACTCCGCCACGGAGCCAAAGGTGAAAGCCAACGATTTTGTATTTTTAATAGATCCGAATTGCTTATGTTTATTACTCATTTCTAAAAAAATACGTATGAAATGTAAATTTGCCACCATTACATCATTCAATATTTAAAATATTACCAATTACCATAAACATATTTTAAAATTACTTACTACCAAAAATATCGCTTATAAAATTCTCAATCGTTTAAAATGCTCGATGGTGCTATAGGTAGGTAGTTATAGTATAGTGTAGTATAGCCCTATCGGTGTATCAACGCGATCGCGCGGTGTCGGTGAGAAAAAGTAATACGTCCTATCGTTGGGATTACCAGGAGCGTACTGAATCGGACGGCGTCTACGCATGATGATTTATAGTATTTTTAAAATAATTATATAAAATAAATGACAAAATAAAACGAGGTAAAACTTTTTTTGGATATTTAACATTACATGTATTTTGATAAAATAATTAAAACAGATATGTTTATAACCAAATACACGGTAAAAATTACATTGAAGTAGACGGTTTTGGTGATTTTATAATATTATTTTATAATATTAAATCAAAATATTTTCGTAATTTTGGTTTTGCTATACACCAAAAGACTATATATCCCATTATAATAACGCTTAAAATAAAGTATTTTAGCTTATAATAATGGTTGTATTCAACCTGAAAGATAACTCTGACGCATATTTTCGTAAAACGCTGTGAAGGGATTGTCTTTGCTCTAAAAAACCGTCATTAAAAACTATGATTTTTCATTGCAATACACTAAATAAAGACTTCATTTTTCTAAAGCCCTAATTTTCTGCGAATAATCTGCTCACATCGTCACGATATCGCCCTTGGAAAAACCCTAAAACATGTAGTTTTCGACGCGAAACGCATATGCCCTCTTAAGGACTAGTATCTATAAGGACCATTACTACCTCTCCATTACCTCTCCGACTTCTTTCGCACACATATTCCTACGCATACATGTTGTCGTATGGGTATGTACCCTTGATTTGATCCTCCTTATTAATATACAGATAGCGAATATTACTACAATATTATTTTATTTTGAGAGGAGAGGGCGCTTCAATGCCACCGTTAACATCTGCTTCTTACTTTTATATCTAGACCTATCCTATCGGAATATATGGTACCTAAACAAGGAATATAATACGAGGGTGGATTGAAAAGTACTCGGCCTAACCAAGAAAATAAACACATACTAAATCAGTTATATTTTTATTTTTCTACATAATCACCATCAAGTTCAATACACTTTTGCCACCTCCCCTTCCAAGCATTTAGACCGTTGAAAAAAAATGATTCTTCCTTAGAGTCAAAATATGCGTCTACAGCTGCTTTGACCTCGTCGTTTGTCGAAAATCTTTGACCTCCCAAGTGCTTTTTTAGGTTAGGGAACAGAAAGAAGTCTGATGGTGCCAGATCAGATGAATACGGTGGATGCGGTAACAGTTCAAAGCCACAGTTGTGAATTTCAGCCATTGACTGTACTGACGTGTGAACACGGGCGTTATCTTGATGAAACAGGACTTTTCTTCTGAGCATTCCTCGACGTTTTTCTTTTATTTCCTCTCGTAAACGACGTAGTAAGGTGCAGTAGTAATCAGAGTTTATAGGCTGACCCCTTTCAAGATAATCAATCATAATCACACCTTTCGAGTCCCAGAATACTGAAGCCATCACCTTATTTGCCGACAAAATCGACTTAGCCTTTTTTAGGGGGTGGTGAACCAGGTCTTCTCCACTGTTTTGATTGTTGTTTTGTTTCCGGTGTACAGTAATGAACCCATGTTTCGTCCATAGTAACAAAACGATTCAAAAAATCATCTGCATCGGCTTCAAATAACTCCAAACAGTCGCGTGAAATAGTCAATAGCGTCCTTTTTTGTTCAACTGAAAGCAGTCGCGGAACCCACCTCCCAGATACCTTGTGGAAACCCAACTCGTTGACAATGATGTTTTGAGTTCGTTCATAAGAGATGCCTATAATCTCGGCTATCTCTCTAATTTTTAATCTGCGGTCTCCCATTATTAAATCAAGTACTTTTTTAATATTTTCGTCAGTAGTTGACGTCGAAGGCCTTCCAGAGCGGGCATTTTTTGACGGATGAATATGACAGAGCACAATCGCCTAATGTACTGACCATGTCATCATGGATGGCTTTTGATGATAGCCCCTTCTTATGGAGGTACTTAATGACGGCACGCTGCTCGATTTGCTCCATTCGCGGAAATTATGTCCGATTACTTTGTTAATAAATTTATAAAATCACAACTAATTATCGCACACGTTTCGAACTTCACACGATGAACTAGTCTGAACTGAACTAAATAATGTGGGTAGATTTGATTTTTAGAATTGAATGGATCTGTGTTAGGCCGAGTACTTTTCAATCCACCCTCGTATGTATATATGTAAGGAATGTATTAGCATATTAACTATTAGTATTTTTTACTTGTACCTGATTGGACTGTTGATTGCTTGACAGCAATTGTGACAGGATCTGCTTGACAGTTTTCTTGTCGCCTTTTTCTTCATCTTCCTCGGTACCTGTGGATTTTATTCGCTTGAATAATTATCATTATGTAACTGGCTCATTGATCATCGGGACTGTTGATCATACGGTCCCGGGTCGGACCAAAATCAATTATACATAGAAATCGGTGTTTCACTACCGTGCCTCGCAAAGCACGTAAATGATATAATAAACTTTATTTCAGACAATGTCCCATAATATAAAGTTAGTGGTATTAAGTTTTTTTTTTATATATACCTCCTCCAAGGACAACCACAAAGCACGGTCCTGAGCCACCTGCATCCACCAACTTCCTGCATGTCTTACCAGGTCGTCACTTCATCTAGTGGGGGGTCGTCCTACACTTCGTCTAACGGTACGAGGCTGCCACTCGAGAACCTTTCTTCCCCATCGGTTGTCGGTTTTTAGAGCTTAATAGTCGGCCTATTGCCACTTCAGCTTACTAATCCGTTGGCCTTAACGATCAATCTGGTTCTACTGCGGATATCCTCATTTTTAAGTTTATCACGCAGAAAAACCCCGGGAGCATAGCCCTCCTATTTTAATAGAAATTAAAAGATGCTTACGTCTTGTTTTTCAATAATAATAAAAAATATTACATCGTATAAAGTAATTAATGCATATCGACTTATATTTCAACAGGATAAATGAAATTTACTTGTATGTTCTTTCTCCGAGTCCTTAGGTACACTATCTGTAAAAAAATAAAACAGTAAAAATCTTTATATAATTTAAGACTAAAAATGACAATATTATAATAACAACAATAACAACAACAATAATTATATTTCAGGCATCAAGGAGTTAAAAATTAAGAACATTGGCCCATAGCAATATATATCTTAACCTAAAAAATATATAAAATATAAATATTACACTATTTAGGGAACTTTCTTCTTTGGCGCATCCCTGTATCGATGAAACACTACCCCAGAGGGCCAGAAATCGGGAGCAAGGAATGTCTCTTTGTACTTTGCAGGAACCTGGAGTACGTAGGATCTAAGTTCGTGGACCTATTAGACTCCAGACGCTGCAAATGTAAAGAGATCAGATCCTCTATGCGGCATCGGCTTCGTTCTTTCACGAAACGCAGCACGTCTTTTCCCGACGTACCTTTTAATGTCATATCGCCATTGTACAACCCCGTAATAGCGGTATTGCGATATCCACCATCCTATACCGTCCCATGGATGTGGTAAGAGGCGACGGAGGAAAGCTGCAACAGGCGATGGGCAGCAGTATCTTCCTGACAACTATCAAAATTATAAAAATCTTCAGTTACGAACCCGCCGGCAACATTCCCTCTTACTCTTTACCACTGGTTCGGAAAAACCTCTAACCTGGGAAGAACCAGCATGAAACCCAGAGCGACGTTTTTAATTAATAGAACATACATAATACATAACATAAACACTCACGCCTGTCACCCAGAGGGGTAGGCAGAAACTACGGACACTAACACGCACCCACATACGAGAGGAACAATTTACACTCAACAATATATTTAGTTATATATGTAGGTTTAATTTTCATACTTTAAATAATATTGTTTGATATATGTTTACGTAAGTTTCTTAATCAGAAAGATTTCTGTTAAATTGTCTCATAAGAAAGAGCACTGTTGCCTGAGATACAAGCTTATTGCTTAGTTCAGGCGCAGATTGCAAATATATTATATTGTTAAAAAATTTCCTGAATAAAGAAATTATTATGTGGGGTATCTATATAGTTTTCTCGTCTGGTTGGATTCTATAAATATATAATTATAAATTAAAACGAAAAGATAAATATACATAAATATAATTAAAATAAAATAAATACAAAAATACATAAATAAATAAAAGCCCAACCAGATGGAAGCCCTCAGCAGGGGAGACCAAATGAGCGAGGGTTAGGAGGAAAGGGAAAGAAACCGGCGGACGATGCGGGCGGTATCGAGGAGCACCGCCTTCTGCATTTGTGCCCGGAGCAGTCCGTCACGGAGTCCCAGTCGCCTCAGATGACCCGAGAGGCTGAATGGGATTAGCCCATTTGCAGAGACGACTACAGGAATAATTTCGGCCGGCATACCACCCCACATGTCGGTCACCTCGTGAGCCATGTCCATATATTTTGTTCGTTTATCTGTTTCGGCTTTCACGAGGTTCTCTTCATACGGAATGGTAATGTCGACCAAAAATATCCTTGACTGTGCCCGGTCCATCAGCACAATATCAGGCTTATTCGCAAGAATAGTCCTGTGTGTGATGATGGCCCGGTCCCAGTAGAGCCTGGCGCGGTCATTTTCGAGCACGGCTTCCGGCAAGTACTTGTAATACGGCAATTTCCGGTACACGAAACCGTATTTCAGAGCGAGCTCCTGGTGTAGAATTCTTGCTACTACGTGGTGCCTGTGCAAGTACTCAGAGTTAGAAAGCGCCGAACAACCGGAGATGACATGCCTAAGTGACTCCCCGAGATGGCGACAAGCTCGACAGATGTCGACAGTGCCATCCTTTAGGATGTATCTCCGATAGTTGTTGGTCTTAATAACCTGATCCTGTATTGCACAGACAAAACCCTCGGTTTCCCCCGAAGAGGTCACCGAAACGTAGCCAGTTGAGGGAGGCGGCTGTATCTACGTGGGGCTCATGTAGAGCCCTGTAGTACCTCCCGTGGAGCTCCTTCTCCTTCCATACGGTCTCCCGGTCGGAAATGCTTTGTACTGCCGGGTCCTGCCATTGCTCGTTGGCTAAGGATAGAGGGGTAAGTCCTTTATCACTAGAAATGACGTCATTATAGAATGGATCATCCGATCTCGCCAAGAAGTAATGACGGAGGCTGCACACTTCGCGATGATGCTTTCGCGGCAAGTACAGCCTCATTACCGACGATCTCGTATGCCAAAGGTATACATGAGGACAGGCATGACCCAGCCGTTATATGCGTGTGTCTTATTCACACCGGACAAAAGGCTGTTAAGCACTTTGGTCAAGCGTGCGTAAAACACGTCGCAAACTGACTGTTTCATACCAGCCTCATCGATACCAAGGTTCTTTGACATACCCAGGTATCGGCATGTTTCAGCCTCGGAAAGGGTTCTTAAGTTGACGAGCATAGATAAGTCTATGCCCTCAGAGCTAGCAACCCTTCCCCTTTCAACATGGAGGACCGCACACTTATCCGTCCCCAGCTCCATTCCAATAGAATTGCTAAATTCACAAGTGATGTTTAGCAATTCCATAAGATGGGAGCGACTGGAGGCGAATAATTTGAGGTCATCCATACAGAAAAGGTGGGTCACTTTTGTACCTCCTTTTCGAAGCTGAAATCCCCTCCCGGAGCCCTCCAGTAAAGTACTGAGAGGGTTCAAAGAGAGGCAGAACCAGATTGGACTCAGACAGTCGCCCTGGAATATACCCCTTCTTATCCTTATGCGGCTTTCCGCAGCCGTCATCCGCTCGTCTAGATGACAGAGGATCGTACTCCAATGCCCCATACACTGCTCGAGGAAGTTTCGAACTGTACAGTCAATCGTGTACAGCTCGAGGACCCTCTTTAGCCATGTATGGGGCACCGAGTCAAATGCCTTTCTGTAATCTATCCAGGCGGCGGAGAAGTTCCGACGGTTGCGTTTCACCACTTTGCCAATGACAAGAAATTATTATTATGGGGTATCTATATAGTTTTCTCATCTGGTTGGGTTCTATAAATATATAATTATAAATGAAAATGAAAAGATAAATATACATAAATATTAATAACATAAATTAAATATAAAAGTACATAAATAAATAAAAGCCCAACCAGATGGAGGCCCTCGGCAGGGGAGACCAAACGGCCGAGGGTTAGGGGGAAAGGAAAAGAAACCGGCGGACGATGCGGGCGGTATCGAGGAGCACCGCCTTCTGCATTTGAACCTGGAGCGGTCCGCCACGTAGTCCCAGCCGCCTCAGATGACCCGAGAGGCTGATTGGGATTAGCCCGTTTGCAGAGACGACTACAGGAATAATTTCGGTCGGCAGACCACCCCACATGTCGGTCACCTCGTGAGCCAGGTCCAGATATTTTGTTTGCTTGTCTGTTTCGGCTTTCACGAGGTTCTCGTCATACGGAGTGGTAATGTCAACCAAAAATAACCTTGACTGTGCCCGGTCCATCAGCACAATATCAGGCTTATTCGCAAGAATAGTCCTGTCTGTGATGATGGCCCGGTCCCAATAGAGCCTGGCGCGATCATTTTCGAGCACGGCTTCCGGCAAGTACTTGTAATACGGCAATTTCCGATCCACGAGACCGTATTTCAGAGCGAGCTCTTGGTGTAGAATTCTGGCTACTAGGTTGTGCCTGTGCAAGTACTCAGAGTTAGAAAGCGCCGAACAACCGGAGATAACATGCCTAAGTGACTCACGGGGATGGCGACAAGCTCGACAGACGTCGATGGTGCCATCCTTTAGGATGTATCTCCGATAGTTGTTGGTCTTAATAACCTGATCCTGTATTGCACAGACAAAACCCTCGGTTTCCCCGAAGAGATCACCAAAGCGTAGCCAGTGGAGGGAGGCTACTGTGTCTACGAAAGGCTCATGTAGAGCCTTGTAGAACCTCCCGTGGAGCTCCTTCTCCTTCCATACGGTCTCCCGGTCGGAAATGCTCTGCACTGCCGGGTCCAATGACAAGAAATTATTATTATTATTTGGGCACAATCCCGACACACCTCTCTCGCTTCCTTCACATCCATAGACCTACGCATACATGCTCGTCGGTTAAGGGTACTCCTAATTTGGTCAGTTTTCAGTAAATCGCTAATTTGGTCGACAGATTTTCACCTAGGAGGTCCCTTTCCGAATCTGCCATTCACTTCTGCAACATAAATTTTCTTTGTCACTTTTTCCTCATTCATTCTTTCCACATGACCAAACCACCGAAGCATTCCTTTCTTAATCCTGGCCACAACATCATCTTGTAAACCACACTTCTCTTATCACACAATTTTTCACCCTGTCATTCAGATTCAGCCCTAACATACTACTTAACGACCGCATTTCTACTGCGTTCATTCTACTCTCGTGCTTCTTCTGCAACACCCAACTTTCACTACCATACGTTAAAGTAGGGAACAACACAGCATTGCGAATTGCCATACGTGCCTTTTTTGACACATTTTGACTCTTCACAATAGAGTGTAGAGCCCAATTAATAGAAATAAAAGCTTTACCTGAATTATCATTGCCGCTCGATTCTCCGCATGATTCTTCAATTTCTTTTTCGTCTTCTGAAAGTAAAAATTAAAGTAAATATTATAAATAATGTACGGACACATTTAGGCAAAGGCCTACTGTTACATCTGATGGGACTATGGAGCAGTTTATGTTTGTGTTGACGGAATTCAACTTTTCTATAAATATTCACTATGCTCCTACAAATATTTTATCTTGAGGAAGCAAAATAAACTATTTATTTTGCAGAACTATCTGTGTTCCGCTAATTTTGAATATCATATCCGATAACTTTAAGGAACTGATTTCGATTTAGCGGTTATAAGGCAGCGCGTATTGCAAGTAAGGAGATATAATTCGATAAAGGAAAGAAGGCAAGATGCCAGCGTCAAAGGGAAAAATTTTATAACGTACAGCTTTGGTTTTGCTGATGCTATCTGGAAATTTAGCGGTAATGACTGGACTTATTCGTCATCAAAATGGACGCAGGACATAGAGGATAACGAAAAATATTTGGTTGGATTGCGCAACAAAAATTAATAATTGCAAGACGTTCACAAGCGGGTACAGCTAAAGTTTGACTGCAATCGGAAAACGCATTTAAAAGTTACTAAGAGGCACAGCAAAAAGAGTTTTCTAACGCTATAAATATAAAAGAAGCTTTCGTGAAAGTAAAAGAACGAATCATTTTATCAATGTGTGTTCTTATAACTACTACGAGACGAAGAAGATTATTTTATATGGTGTAAATACTTCTCCAATTTTAAAAGAAAAACTAGCGATTTACGAGACGATGAAGAGCAAGATAAAAACGCATTACTATTAGTCTTCATAAATAATTATAGTTACGGGTTGTTTCCGGCTGTGCTTTCGTGGTTTTCTGCTGTGAACTGGACCACTTTTCTTGTGCGTCTCTCAGCATCTTCTCGCCCGTTATTATGTTGTCGGACACATTCCACAAATTGCGAACGACACCTAAAACCAAATCATATTTAAATAGTGTTTAAAACTTTCCTATACCAGTCAGTTACATGAATAAACCTCGCCCCATCAGTCGGCTGTGCCGTTGGTCTAGTAGTCGTTAACAAGACTGTTAATCAACGCGCCATCGGGCTAAGTACACCGGGGTACTCCCAGATATCTTTGACTACATCAGAAAGTTATTAGGATTCCTTCAAGAAGCTAGAGTGGCCCGATTAGCATTAATTCCTGTCCACACGCAAAATACGCGCTCTGTCTTACCAGTGATACACTAAAAACCTGTCATCGTGATAAAAATAGTTTAATTTATAAATTTCTCCAAACGTCTTTCTGCCACTTACTGCCTAGTGCTGGCTTCTCATGGAGGTTCGCGGAGGTCAGGGCAAGATGAATTTGCTCCATATGTTGTTTGAAAGCTTGGTACTCTTTCTCTTTCTCTATCTCGCCTTCGGCGACGTTGCTGAATGTTTCGTGTCCTGAAATGAAACGATACTAATATATAATTTAATTCAGTCGATGCATTTTCTACTTATTTTTGATTATGTTTTATACTGGGAGACTTTTTTATGAGCTGGACATCCGTCGTACTTGAAGTACATTTCTTGCACATGGCTCAGAGGAACGTTTTCCAACACTGTGTCAATGACGGAATGTATCATTTGCAGATGCGTTACTCCCGTCAATCGACTTTCAAATCTATATTGAAACAATGATGTGGTCGTTAATGATAACCGCCTAAAGTTAACACTGAAACGAACTTGATGAGCAAGTTCTCGTTTTGCATGTTCATTTTGTGTGGGTTTTATATACTCCACCAGTGCTCATTGTGCACGTTGTAAATCCCAACACGGGTAAATATCGATTCGTCGGACAGTCCTTATTTTTCACCAGACAAGACATAAAATCTCGCCATTGTTGGATACTCGACAATAGAGTATTGTTTTTTTTATAGAATAAGGGTGATAAAGGAGCACACAGTCTATCTGATGGTAAGTGGATGCTGTTGCCCATAGACATCTGCATTTATTTTCGATTAAGAAACAAAACGCAGATTCGTTGGCACCCCTGTGGACTAAGATCGAATGCCTCGTTTCCAGTAAAAAAGGGTCTCCGGATCTCTACACGCACCATACGAAACACAGCAATATTAAGCTGCATTTGCTGGTTTTATGTGAGAGCGTGATCCTTCCCAGTCCTTCACGTGCGTGCCAAGTCAAGTGTTTACGATACACACGCCGAAACATAAAAAATAGGACGCGACGTCGTGCTGTAGCTAATCACAGGTCACTGAAATGAGAGCTCGGGCGGCTTTCTCCTTGATCCTGTGACCCTGCTAAAGGACAAAGAGGCTCACGGCGGGTGCCGGCCAGTTCGTTACCAAATGTATTGTATTATTGCCAAAGTAGGATGTGATGTTCATTGTTGATGTTAATGAAATGATTTGAATTTCGATTGATTTTAATTGATTTGTTTATTAGGTCCAAAATTTTTTTTTAATATCGAAGGTTTATTTCAAATTAGATGTATTTATTGATAGATCATTTACATGATATGTTAATGAAAAATAATTCTAAAATATCAGTGCCACTTCTTAGGCTTATACTCCGTCCATCTGTTACACCATATTTTTTTCTAGACGGTAAAAAGTTATCCAGTATAATCAGGTATTAAGAACAATTTGTGGTAACTATTAGTAAATAAGTAAAGTTACAGCCTATATACGTCCCACTGCTGGACACAGGCCTCCCCCCCATTTCCGAGAGGGTTTTAGGGCAAGGAAGTATCCGTCGTGCAGCCCCAATGCGTGTTGGCAAAATTCACATGTCTTCGAAATATTTTTTTTATTCCTTAGACATGGTTTCTTCACGATGTTTTCCTTCACCGCCGAGCACGTGGTAAATAGCACTTAAAATTGCATTTAACAATTTCATTGGTGCCGGCGGGGATCGAACCCGGGTTACTCGCGTTCTGTTATATTTGCTGCGATCGTTAACCTCCTCAGCTACCACGGCTACTAACTATTAATCATTTACATAAAGTAAAGTAAAGTAAAGTTACAGCCTATATACGTCCCACTGCTGGGCACAGGCCTCCCCTCGTTTCTGAGAGGGTTTTAGGGCAAGGAAGTGTTCGCCGCGCTGCCCCAATGCGTGTTGGCGAACTTCACATGTCTTCGAAATATTTTTTTACATTAAATGGTAACTATTAATCATTTATATTAAGAAAAAATCGGTACCTTTAAGCATTAAGTCGTTAAGTTGGCTAATAAGAGTGTCTCTCATCTGCTTCGTGTCGTAGTTGATGGATATCACATCGGGCGGTAGCTGAATGTCGTACGTGGAGATTTTGGTATACCTAAAATAAAAAAGTTAAAAGTATGCATACGTCACAAAGCTGGGCACTAGGAAGCCTTTCCAATCATTTCTAAAATGATTAAGATGCTAGAATAATAAACGTTCATTTTGTGGGTATCGTAGGAGACGACAGAGGGAAACAACTCAGAAGATGAGCAGCAGCATCATTCATTCATCATCATTACAGCCCTTCACAAGTACACTGCTGAACAAAGGTTTCGCCCAAGGAATACCACAAAGCACGGTCCCAAGTCACCTGTATCCATCGTCTTGCCAGGTCGTCACTCCATCTAGTGGGGGGTCGCCCTCCTTCACCTATCGGTATAAGGCTGCCATTCGAAAACATTTCTTTCCCATCGGTTGTCGAATTTTCGAGCTATATGGCCGGCCCATTGATACTTCAGCTTACTAATCAGTTGAGCTCTGGTTCTACTGCCGATATCCTCATTCCTAAATTTATCACACAAAGAAACGTTGAGCATAGCCCTCTCTATAGCTCACTGAGCGACCTTGAGCGTCTTCATACGGTCAGCAGTGAAGGACCATGTCTCAGACCCATAAGTTATCACTGGCAACACGCACTGGTTGTATAATCCCGTTTTAAATTTTTGAGGTATACCTGTAGAAGATGTGTCGTAATTTCCCAAATTCTGCCTAGCCGAGTTAAAGCTGTCTTTTGACCACTCGGTTGAAGTTGGACTTACGTACGTACAGCTGCAGCACGTACCTGCAGCAGGCGGTGCTGTGGCGCGACACGAAGGCGTGCGCGTGCGCGTGCAGCGCGTGCGGGCAGGTACGTGCGCGCACGTAGCGCGTGGCGCTGAGGCGCGCGCGCACGTAGGCGGCCAGCGACAGCCCGAGCGCCGCGCGCGACACACGCCGCCCGCGCCCCGCCGCGCCGCACACCTCGCACCGTGTCCACACGCGCACCTGTGTACCGCACCCTGACCCTCAGCAAACTTCATGTAAGTTGGCTGGCACTCCTTAACTACCAAGGTCTCAGTTTATGTAGGTAAAATGAGAACTAATAACTTTACGTTTAGAAGATGACGCTAGTTGGGACTAAGTTGAATTTATTTGTTACCTACGCAGATAACCACACAGTTTTGTCACCATTGTTAAGTAGTTTTGTCATCATTGTTACACACTAAAAAAATTGTTCTAGTGGTTGTAGTAGTGCGACTGCTGATCATGAGGTCCTGGATTCGAATCTCAGGTCAGGCCAAAAAAAATTAATTATTGAATTTTTCCGTCAAGAAATTCTTAGTAGTTGCCCAGAGTCCGTGCCTCGGAAAGCACGTAAAGCCGTTGGTCTTGCGCCTGATCTCTCTCCGGTCGTGTCGGTTTACCGTCCCATCGGATTATGAGAGTGAGGGAAAAGAGAGTGCACCTGTGCTTGCGCATACACTTGGGCAATATAATCCTGTCCTGCGCTGATGGCTAGTCTCCGTTGAGTCGAAATTCGGTCCGGAGGACATTATATATATTGTAGTGCATTACCTAGAAGTTTTATATTTCATGCGCGAGTCCCGTGTGACTCTGCTGCGCAAGCGCGTTTAGCATAAGTTAGATTTTATAAGAAATGATTGTATTTGGGACTCAATAAACGACCGACGTACGGTGAAGACGTATCTTTTCTTTTTCCCCACTCATACCATGCCTCATGGCGACCATGCCAGGATGCTAACAAAGAAATTACCCACTAAGTGAAAAACCAGTGCAAAAAAAAACCAAATTCGGAAGAAAGAAGAAAACCTTATAGAAGAAAGAAGAAAACCTTACAGAAGAATGAAGAAAACCATATAGAAGAAAGAAGCACAAATTCTGAAGAAAGAAAAAAGAAGCGCCCTATTTTGAAGAAAACAAAAAAAAACCAAGAAGAAACACCAGAAATCCAAAGAGAAATAAAGGTACGAAATGGGAAAATCGCAGTCGAAAGAAGTAGTCATAGCACAAAACGCAAATGGTGCAGCATCCGCAAATACAAGCTTAGAAAACGCTCACACAAACCGCATCATACAAACCCTCATGATTGTATCCGTGGTTATACTGGCTGCAGCAGTTATCTATTACCTGATGAAAAAATGCAGGAAGAGTGCCGTGAAAACTCTGAGGCGAGAACTCAACGCAATCTCGCTTGAAAACATCGCCCGCCCTACAACTAACTAGAAGATCTCAAGAGGTGTCCAGGGTAATACCCGGCCCAACATCAAGAGGTGTCCAGGGTAATACCCGGCCCGCTTCAAGAAGATGACCTCATGCAGCCACACATCCTGTTTGCAGTGCTGTTCCCGCTTGCTCGCGCCGCCCTAAAAATGGTTACATCCACAAACACCATCGCCCCGCCCTTGTAATTAGTATGTACGTGATATTTTAACAAGTAAGTGAAATTATAATTTTTAAGTGTTTTTACATAGTGTGTAAATAATAGTTTCCTTTTCCTTTACTGTTAGAAATTATATTTGTCTATTTTTTTCAATGTCACTAACTGAACTAAATAATGTGTACAGTAGTTTAAAAGAAATTAGAGATTATCTAGTGAAAATCGGACCAAAACATAGAGAGAGTTCCGATACAGCAAAAGAAAAAGTTAGTGAAGCGAAAAATCTGTACAGTCGTTTGGAGTATATTGCGTCTAAAATCAAACTAAAAATAGAGAATTCTGAGATAAGTAGCGATGATTTTCAGGTTATTAATAGATGCATAGACGACATACATATCTTGTACAGTAATATTTTAAATTTAATGTCTCGTGAATCAGAAAGTTCCAATAACTCAGCCAGCATGGGCGCCTTTGATTTAAAAACGGCAATAGCCCTATTGCCAATAATGACAGGCCACGAAAATATTACTACTCAACTGATAGATAGTATTGTGATGTATAGTGATATGCTTAACGAAAATGGCAAAAAACAATTAATTGATTTCGTTTTGAAAACTAGACTGACCCCTAGCGCCAAGCTGAGGTTAAAATCTAGCTACGAGTCCGTGAGTAGTTTGGTTTTAGATATGCGCACTCACTTAATTCAGAAGAAATCCGCGGTAGCATTGCAATCGCAGCTTAATAGCGCAAGCCAAGGCCGTAGGTCTATTGATAAGTTCGGCTCTGAGTTAGAACAGTTGTTCGTCAACTTGACTATAGCACAGGCTGACGGTGATGACAAAAAATACGAAACACTTCGTCCTTTGAACGAGAAAATTGCGATTAAGCGTTTCGCAGACGGATTATCAGATTCGCGTTTGAGCATTATCATAGCCTCCCGACAATTCCAGTCTCTTCCAGAAGCGATTCAAACCGCGCTGGACGAGAGCACATCATCAGCTCGTAACGAGCATGTGTTGAACATTTACCGCAGTCGTGACAATCAGTTTAATAGAAATAAAAGAGGCCCTAATAACGCTCGCTCAAATACTAATTATAACCATCAGAGAGCGCAAAGCGGATCGAATTCCAGGACATTTTACAGGGGTAACTCTCGAGGGCTCAATCGTGGTAGGTACCAACGGGGTACTTCGCGAGGCCGAGGTCGGTACAACCCATCTCGCCCAAATGTAAACGCCCGCGTTTCTCAGATACAATCGGAGCACATTGAGAGCGTGGAACGCACTCAATCTGCACCGAATAGTGAGTTTTTTCGCCCCTACAATTAGTGATCATTTCGTTTGTAATTATAGCATAAACAATGTAGTGGATTGAAATGTAAGTAATAATAGCAAGGTAAGTCTTTTAGTAGATACGGGCGCGAGCATTTGTGTTATGAAATATGAGTGGCTCCTCGATAACCAGGAGTATTTGAATGAGTTACATTATGATAAAATAACAATTAAGGGCGTTAGTGGTAAATTAATTTCAGACGGTTATATTTACTTAGATTTAGTTTGTAATGGCATAACTTTTAGAGAGAAATTTTACGTTTTTAAGAATCTCTCTTGTTTTGCTAACGGTATATTGGGCGATAATTTTTTTAAGCGTTATAATGCGATAATCAACTACGAAACACGAACCTTACAGTTATCGAATCAGGGTTCCGTAGTTTGTCTTAATATGGGTAGATGGAGTGATAGGTATAGACACGTCATACCCGCCCGTTGCGAAGTTATCAAACATATTCCTTGCACTTTAAGCGAAGATAGCGTTATTTTAGCTCAAGAAATTGAGGAAGGGATTTTTATCGCAGGAATGTTAGCTAAACCATTAAATAAAAGTATTCCTATTAGAGTGTTGAATACGAGAAATGAGGATATTGAGATAGATTTTTCAAAGGTCAATGTCCATTCCATTAGTAACTTCGAGGTATGCCACCTCGAAAGCGAAGAAAAAACTGTTGAGCGAATAAAAACTTTATTCGATTTACTTGATTTGAGTTATTTAAATAGGGAAGAAAGGCTCAGTATTGAACAAATCTGTGCCAAATACGCAGATGTTTTCCATTTACCAGGTGATTCGTTATCAGTTACGAACTTAATGGAACATAGCATAGTTTTAAAAGATAACGTGACCCCAGTTTATTCTAAGCCTTATAGGGTTCCTCAGGCGTTAAAAGGTGAGATAGAAAAACAAGTTTTTTTTTTTTATTTGGTTCACAAATGGAATGTAACGTGTACATGGTTCAGGTAACTTGAAAAAAAGTAACAAACAAACGTTCATTCTAATAACAGTGAACACGGCATGCAACAAGTGGACGAGATAACAAATACAACTAAAGAAAGGAAAAAACTCTAAAATAATAAATATTAATTAATTAATGGCTAATCTAATGTTAGCCCTTGCTGAGGCCATAGAACCATGAAAGATGTCGAACAAATCACGAATATTATTGTAACTATTAGTCATTCTGTATAATGGCGAGTGATGACCTGCCACTGTTTTACAGTGTGGCGTGGCAAAAGTCTTTTTGCGGCCCAGGCGACTGCCAGCTCTAGGGACCGACACATCTAAATGATTTAAAATGTCCGGACAGTTGACGAGACCATGGATAATTTTATAGAGGAACAAGACATCAGATGATTCTCGCCGCTTGGATAGTTGTTCTAATTTGTAGTGTGCTAATCTACTCTCGTATGAAATGAGTGTCCTGCATTGGTTATTTGCATACGATAACTGGTACATAAACCTTTTCTGAATCTTTTCCAGTCGGTTTGAGTGACACTTGTACCCCGGATTCCAGACTGGGCTAGCGTATTCAACAATAGTTCTCACCAAACAGTTATAGACTGGAATGATTAAACCAGGGTCTTTAAAAGATTTTATTTGCCTAGATATAAACCCGGATAATTTAGAAGCTTTTTTTGTTATTGTGTCGATATGACTTCTAAAGCTGAGCGTGCTGTCAATTAAAACGCCTAAGTCTAGGATTTCCGTGACCTCACCCAATGGCTCATCGTTTAACTTGTATGTTGCCTCGGTTTTATTTTTCTTTCTAGTTAACTTTAGATGAGAACATTTTCCAGTATTGAGGATCATATGGTTTTGACGACACCAGTCGTATAATCTATCCAACTCTAACTGTAGAGCGGTCACATCTAGTTTGGAGTCAATGATTTTGTACAGTTTAAGGTCGTCTGCGTACATTTTAAAATTACATTCGATTATATTGGCTAGATCGTTTATGAAAATAAGAAAGAACAATGGACCGATATGAGAGCCCTGGGGAACGCCTGAAGGAATCTCTCTAGCTGAGGATGAATAACCACGCAACGAGACTAACTGTGACCGATTTCTGAGATAGGAATCGCACCAGCGCAGCAGTGAACCATGGACCCCCATTAGCATGATCTTCTTTATAAGCAGGTCATGGTTGATGAGATCGAAAGCCTTGCTAAAATCGGTGTAAATACTGTGTACCTCTTTATTCCTATCCAGTGCACATGCAATATCATTAACAAAACCGACTAAGTTAGATGTTGTAGACTTTTTAGGCTGAAACCCA